GGGGGGGGGGGGGGGGGGGGGGGGGGTCCTTATCCACCACCAGTGTGCAGCATTCACCTGGATGATGCGACGGCAGTCACAGGACAATGGCACCAGTGCGCTCACCACACACCAGCTACAGGAGGAGAGAGAGTCAAGCCGATCAAGTGGATGGGGATTATTAGGAGGCCATGATAGACAAGGACCAGGGGGGCAATTTGGTCAGGAAACCGGGGTTACACCCCTACTCTTTACGAGAAGTGCCATGGGATTTTTAATGACCACAGAGAGCCAGGACCTTGGTTTAACGTCTCATCCGAAAGACGGTGCTTTTTGACAGTATAGTGTCCCCCATCACTACACTGGGACGTTAGGACCCTCACAGACCACAGGGTGAGCACCCCCTGCTGGCCTCACTAACACCTCTTCCCGCAGCAAGCTAGTTTTCCCAGGAGGTCTCTCATCCAGGTACTGACCAGGCTCAGCCCTGCTTAGATTAAGTGGGCAACCAGTCTTGGGCTGCAGGGTGATAGCGCTCACCACACACCAGCTACAGGTGGAGAGGAGAGAGAGTCAAGCCGATCAAGTGGATGGAGATTATTAGGAGGCCATGATAGACAAGGACCAGGGGGGCAATTTGGTCAGGACACCGGGGTTACACCCCTACTCTTTACGAGAAGTGCCATGGGATTTTTAATGACCACAGAGAGCCAGGACCTTGGTTTAACGTCTCATCCGAAAGACGGTGCTTTTTGACAGTATAGTGTCCCCCATCACTACACTGGGACGTTAGGACCCTCACAGACCACAGGGTGAGCACTCCCTGCTGGCCTCACTAACACCTCTTCCAGCAGCAACCTAGTTTTCCCAGGAGGTCTCCCATCCAGGTACTGACCAGGCTCAACCCTGCTTAGCTTCAGTGGGCAACCAGTCTTGGGCTGCAGGGTGATTTGGCTGTGGTGTGAAATATGAATTTGAATGTTCACAAAAAATCTTTAATCAGTAATCACAAACAGCTAGAAGCCATCATGGGAATTAATAGGTCAAAAAAATGTGGGAAGCCCTTTTTTTATATAACTGAGCTGTCTGTTCATTCAGTGTTGTTAGACATGAAGGCATTTCAGCCACTGGGACCCCAATGAAACATGCAATAAATGCCCCCTCACTTTGTGTGCTCGGGCACTGACTCAGAAGTGCACTCAGAAATTCAGAAGGGTGGTGCGATACAGAGGAAGGACCAACCCTGTTTTAAGTAAGATGACAGGGTCTCTGTATTAAAGAAGGGGGCTCTGGCCTTTACCACCTCCCTCAGGGGGACAAATGCATCAAATCTTAAGTGTAAGGAACTGTGTAATATTAAAATAAAAACACTGAATTGCAGTTCAATTTATAAATTTGATGTTAGCTGACAGAACTATGTCCTGACAGCTCTTTATCCTCAATATATAGTTATTTTACACAAATTAGCCTGTGGATATTCTAATATTTATATGCCATTTATGTAAAGTGCAAAAAATCTTTTAAATTTCCATGCTCACTTGATTAATAGCTTAAGTCAACAAGTTCGAACCTCAAAAGTGTTCACAGACGCAACATAGAATATAGCCATATGTAACCAGAGCTGGGTAGATTACTTACAAATTGTAGTCTGTTACTGATTACTAACTACATGATGAAAACTGTAGCTTGTAACGTAATCCGGGTTATTAATTTTAGCTAATGTAATCTGACTACTTTTTAGACTACTTTTAGATTTACTTTATCAACCTTGTTTTAAATTTACCATTAAACGTGCCATATTGCTATAAAAAGGCAAAGAGAGTGAAAATGTATTCCATTTTTTTATATCAACATCATAAAATGCATTAAACATTACACCAGGGTTTCCCAAACTGGGCTTAATGTAAGAACTGCAGTGGGTTTGTGAGCTGATAAAAAGCTAATAGTTAATTAAATCATGAAAATTAAAAAAATATATATATAATTTACTGCCATTGTGTGGCAATCATGTAATCCATAAAAAGTAACTAATCTGACCGTAAACATTTTACAATGTAATGTACTGTAATTACAAGTACTTAATTTTTGGAATCTGATTACATGTAATCAGTTACTACCCAGCACTGTATGAAACTGTATTGCCGATAAAATAATCATACATAACATATCTTAGCGCATTTGTGAGAGACATTTGTTTAGGGAACTTCACATGTGTGTTTGTTGTTTGTGCAAATTAATTTGACTGAAATTGTAAAATAAGATTCAAATGAGCTTTACTTTACTACTTTGTAGAAACGCTGTGTTGTAATGCTGCGCCCTCTATCGAGCGTGTATGGGGACTTTTATTTTGAAATCAACATTCTACTCCTGCTTTGGGCGCTAGACTTCTGCCAAAGACACGAGAAAGCACATTTATGACCCAATGCGTTTATATTTGAATCCGTAACTCGCAAGAGCGTTTAACCAGGTTATGTAAGTGTGAGTATATTAATTATGTGTAAATAGTAATGTTGTAAAAACACATGGTCTCATCGTAAATGTCTACTGTTCATGCATAACAACCACAACAGATCATGTGGAGCCCTGATGAAATAGCCAGCTTGTGTTATAATCACTTCAATAAACTGCCTAAAAGAGGAAAGCCAGAGGCGGGCAGAGAGTGGACTCTACTGGCTGCTGTGATTCTACTGACTGACAGTTCAGAGCTGAAGACAGGTTAGCAACACTGATCAACTAAGATCATCTCATTAACATGATGATATAAAAACTTCAAAATGTCCTGTTTGATCACAGTTCACAAGCAGGTTGTGTCTTTGGGGACCGGCACCAAATGCATCAGCCAGTCTGCCATGAGTACGAAGGGTAAATGTAACAATTGCTAAACAGTTGCTCAAATTCAAACCTTAATGTGCAACCCCATATATATATATTTTTTTTATTGTGATGATGTGCAGGTGACATTCTGAATGACAGTCATGCTGAGGTTATTGCTCGGAGGGGATGTGTCAGGTAATTTATTTCATGTGTGACATTGGAATTTCATTGCGTTATAAGTGATGCATTCACAAACAAAACCCCAACCATGCCTGAGATCCTGCTTTACAGTCCTTTATAGTTTACACATGCACACTGTAAACGTGTCTTGTGGGCATATTTGCATGATGGATTTATGCTTACCAATCTATATTTGTCTATGGATTTCATGTTTGTCAGGAGGATGTTATGTCCTGTTACCTGTGTTCTAGAAGACTGAAGCGTGATATATGGCTTGCTCTGAACATTTTACAAATCATTCCTAACATTCTCGCTTTCAACAAGATTTGCATTTCTTTCTTTCTTTGTGTAAAATGTTACGACTTGTTTTCAGAGCATTTCATTGTTCTTACTCCAGTGACATTTTAAATCAATCTTTTGATAGTCAGTTCATTATATAAGTTAAGTCTTATTATCTTATACAGTATTGAATATGTCTCAAGTTTCTGTTTTTTTATTTATAAACCGAGCATGAATGCATATTTCATTCCATACAACAGTACTTTGAAATCAATAACAATATTCTAATGTGAGTTGTAAACAAACGTCATTTGTTAAGTCAAAAAAGGATTTAAGAGGAATAACAGAATTGAATTTAGAGATGTGTTTTTGAGTCTTTGCTCAGCCATCGTGATGTTTTTCATCCTCAGGTATCTGACGGAGCAGCTGTTCAGGGCCGTAAGCGGCCAGAGCTCTGATGTTTTCTGTCCTGGGTCTGAAGAGGGAAAATGGACAGTTAAACCGGGAGTTTCCTTCCTTTTCTTCACCAGTCAAACACCCTGTGAGTCCAACTACAGCTTAAATATTAAATACTGAATATTTATGCTCAATTAAAAAGGTTTTTTAACAATGGTTCGTTGCCAGTCAAAGGTTTGTTTACACATTCTCATTTTTTTATCACTTCCCATTTTAGGAAAAACTAGTCATCATATATTTGAATAAAAATGTAAAACAAATTAAAATGATCAGTCAGTACATTTCATTATAG